ATTCCGGGCTCGGTGTAACGTCTACCTCCGGGATTCGTTGTAGCGCGGAATCGAGACTTCGATTTCTGTGATGGTGCGTCAGCGTTGTCGCGCTCGCCTGCGGAACAGGCGGCAATAGGATACCCATTGACCTGCAAACAACCGATATGCCATTGGATGAACATCAAACACTGACGAATTTACCGAGTCGCATTGTAATACGGGACCGAAGCGTGAGCTTAATTCGCAGACAAAGAGAACGTCGTACAGTGGTCCGGATGGCCAAAAACCTGGCCAAAATTTGAAGTTTTCGGATTTTAGTGAAACTTGGTATTTTAGGGTTATTTGGGCCGCAAATTACGAATCTAGTATCAGAATTGCAAAATTCAAAATGGCAGATCCAATATGGTCGACATTCATATTAAAAATATTAAATTATTATGAAGTTTTTATGAAATAGAATTTCTAGGTTTATAGGGCAACATAGTTAGGATACATTGGCAGAAATAACAATAATAAATTAATGTTAAATTCCGTTTGTTTTAGTTTGTTTTAATTCCGCGTAAACAGTCTTCCTTTCCTTGTAAGCATGGACTTTAAATTTAAATAACTTAAAATGGCGCAAATTTGCGCAAGTTTTCTCAATTGGATGTCATACCTAACATGTTACATTATATTAAGAAACTTGGCAGAGCGTGTCACTCGGTGACTATCATCTTTGTTTTCCTTCCGATTCATCGAAAGATAACTAAAATTTATACCATATTGAGAAGGGAATTACAATAGTGAATCCAAAGATATTTTACTTTGTTCTTGTGGAAAGTTTATGTTTTCAACATCTACTTTTATGATAAAATGATTTATATATGAATCTATTGAGGATAAACTTTCTGTGACACAATAAACATGCGCCACTTTTCACGATACCAAGGAGCATGAAATTTCGTCAACTTTGGACCTCTGTATATCAGTAACCGATTAATATTTTTTTAAATTTCAAGCGACATTTAATACACTCATATGTATACAACACATGCACAATATTGAAAAAAGTGTGTTCGAAACTTCAAAAATTGCATTTTGGCCAGGTTTTTGGCCATCCGGACCACTGTACGTCGTCTCTTGGATAGAGAGTGAAATTAAAATTCACTAAAGATAAATTTCGATGCATTAGTCGTTTAAATCGGTTGAATTTCCACGCATGCTCTGTACCACTTAATACAAATTAATGACTACCAATTCAGACGAATGCCTAGGTGGACACTAAGGAATTGTTCTTGAATTTAAGTTATCTAGTACAGTAACAATGACAATATCGTGTAGGAGGTGACATAGGGCCGTAAGGGTAAAAAACAAATGTCCTATGCAGGATACACCATTTAAATCGTTCCCCTCAAATAGCACTGAAACTATTGACGATGCTGGCAAATGTTTTATACGCAGTTAAATGACTTCGATGGGGGACATAATTTAATATGAGTGTATTGTTTATAGGTGGAGATGCAAAGGAGACATGAAGGTCAACTACTCTTCATGGTTGATACCAACTGAAGCTTCCACGTCTTAGCTTTTATCTATCACCGGTGTCTTGCTAGCATTCCAGGTAGCTTCTTCGGGGGTTAAACAACACACAATATGGTAGCTTTAAAACATGATGGAGATTTAAATACTTGTTATCCCTAAAGAAGGCTTTTAATATCGAACCAAAGAAGTGCAACATCTGATGTTTACATTTGAAGAAGATAAGGTCACAGAGAGATAGACCTTGGTAGGAAGCACAATATACATATATGTCTATACCGTTTCTCCGTGTTAACTCTGGAAATAGCTCTACGCTTCGTCTCCGTTCGTAGAATCACCTTGTAGAGATAATACCATGAACTATGCAGCAGATAGCAATAACGAAAAATTACCAGCTATCTACAACTATAAATGTCCTCCGGAAACAGTGGAACGCGATCGCGGTTATTCGTTACATACCTAAAGTCCAAACTATGATTTCGTTGATGGGTGGTCAGCCTGTTACGGTTGTTGATCGGCGGATTCGTCCGTCCATGCACGAGAGGAACATTACAGTTGGCTAATTTATGTCGTTTTACGTGTGCCACGCTTTCCTGGCTTGTCGATCCACCACTAGGTGTAACAGCCACTACTTCGCTCATATTAAAGTCGAACGAGCATCGGCTCGGCCAACAGTCATCTGCTGTTCATGTTGATCGTTCACCTGCAAATATCATAATCGAAGCGTTGAAGTAACCGTAATTCAATGAAAGAAGAAGCTTGGAAAATTGGAACGTTATAAAAGTATATCAATACAGAAGCTTGCAATTGTAAAACTCCTGATTTTGAGATATCTTCAGTTGAGTATCTTCTTGGGTTGAATTTGAATTTAAATTTTAATAATTATAGGTGTAAAGATAACTCAAAATCACTAGTCGAATCGTTACATATCGTAATAAATAACGCTTGTGTGTAGGCTGATAAACTGATTGATCGAAGAAATTTATTCGCTACTGATAGACATACGATCCGGTACTCGTTGACTGGATAAACTTTTGCCCAATAACAATGTCGAATTTATAACGACGTATCTGAAGTGAAATGTGTTCAGTCCGTTATCAGTGCCACTCATAATCCGATAAAGAAATTTGTATCTCGTGCACGTTAGTGAAATATTAAATAACACCGCAAGTCAATCGTACCACTTGGTAAACGTGTTACGATTAAATTTTACTTACGACACATGTCGTCTCGAAAACTTTCCTTCCTATTTATTAAGCTTAACAAGAATCACGTCAGTCAGAATTGCCCATCAAACGCGATCGTGAATTAGAATCGCGTGAGCATACAATCACAAGTACGAAACTCGCGCGTTGAAAATTAAAATTCTGTAATTTATTATCACAGCTATACGCGGTAAATATCCATGCGTCGGAATCGTCAAGCTGATAATACCATCTATAAATTACTATCAGCATCGAGACGATAACGATCTTATTTTAAAGTGAAATACAGAGGCATACGTCGGTTTCATTGTCTATACGTTGTATTTACGTTTTACGAAAAAAAAAAAATCGAATCATCTTGCATGTATGTACAAATGCGGAACGATGACCAACCACGCAAGGCGGCACCGTGACAGGAGCGTGAAACTCGTGCTAGGTACGAGAAAGTCGAATGCCAGACGGAACAAAGCGTACGTCAGAATTTTGCTCCCTACTCCGTGACCACGCGGTTGTACAATTTCTTACGATCTTTTCCTCGGTCTCTTTTTACTTTCCCGGCTGTTATTGAATACAGAACAGAATAAAGATTGCTATCGAGCAATCCCCTCCGCCCTGATGGTTTACATTTATCGATGATTTGAGGTGCCACGAGTCCAAAAATACAAAAGACCGGTTACGGAATTCCGTATGCATGGACATATGTATGCGCATACGTTTATTGGCCCCTGTTGTGTTTTATATGTCAGGAGTGGTTTGTCCGACGATTGTGAAACTTGCTATAGTGATTTTTGCACGCGAGGCATTGATGCCATTCAATTTTTAGTACAAAATATTGACCCATCGGAGTCGTAAGACAAGATGATGCTTGACAACACAACCGTGTTTCGGTGCACATGATCGCAAAGGGTTAGATTGATTTTTTGTCTCAAAATATTTCATTGGAAAAATAGTCAACTTTCTTCCCCTCGTTTTGAGGAAAATGATAGTTGCCACCCTTTCAACCTGCCCGAAAAAAGAGATACGTTAAAGATGATCACTTTCTAGACAGGATTGTTTCGCGTTATCGTAACCGAAATCAGAAGGAATGCGCTTCCTTTCCCGCGAGATTAATCGCCGGGGCGACCGTCGGAGTGAAATCCCCGGGAGAGGAATAATTCAATAAGGAGGAAAATGGAACGAAGTCTAAGGCCTGTGGTATGCCGGCTTTTACTCTCCCTCTTTTACTGAAGAGAGAGACTCGTCCTTCCGCTTGGTTTGTACTCGCACGCTGACCATCGGTCGCACCGCGGTGGGTGTGCCAAAAGCACAAGAAAGCAAGCACCCGACTGTGTGCCGACAGCCAATGGAATCCACACCCCCATAGATATAATGTGCCTCTCCCTCATTCATACTTCTGTGCTCAATAAAATCAATCGGACGCTGAAAATTCGTTTTCCAATCACACACCCGTACACGGTTAAGGAGAACGATACGGTATGTCAATAACTTACCTCGTACTTGAATTCGTGACTTTGTTGCCTTCGAGACTGCACCATGCGTGAACGTTCCTCCGTTTTGACTGTACAGCGCGTATAAAAGTAGTACGGGATGGGATAGTATGACGGAACAAGAAGCTGGACAGAGAGCCAGGCTGGAAGGAGCTGGAAAGAGAGAGAGCGCGAGAAAAGTTGACGATAATGATGATGCAGAGAACACCGCGAGTATGCAAAGTGCCACTGGTGCGAAAAAGACAACAAGATATCCTTTCCAATGGCAGACCCAGACTGTCACGCACCGCCTAGTCGTCCCTCGTTTTCAGACGATTTTGCACAACGCCTGGCTACGCCCTGCACGTTCGCGCACAGAATCACACTTCATCACTTTCGTTTGATCGCACCAAGATGTAACAGATACGGGGACGATAATGCACAGAAGTTTTCTCAGTCCGAGAACAGTAACTAAAAACACGGACGAACGAATTTCCGTGCCAACGCAAAAGGCGACCTCGCCAAGCTCGACTGCTTTTCGCACGACGCACTGAATACTACTCTGCACACTGCTGCCAACAAAAGGGATGCAAAGTCCAGGCGGCCATTACGCGACAACGTACCAAGGCATCCGGGGACCCCTGTGCCTGATAGTAATCGCAACAAATTTTCGCTTTTACTTTCGAAAACCTAATGTGACCTACTTGCATTTATCAATTTGGCTATGTTAGAAAAATAGATTCATCGTTTGAAAATAACGCATTCAAAGATATTTAAAATTTGATAAACTGACAAAGATCAAGATCAACGACGAATAGTTAAGCGTTGGATACTCAACCTCGTGGCTGAAACTTTGATTTTATTAAGGAATCATATACTATCTCAAAAGACGTCACATGGTATCACCACATTATGTTGTAACACACTAGAGCGAAAGAATTTTACAATTTATACATTTTAAACGGTAGAGACTGTTTATAATTTATTTCAAGTGTCGTCACTGGACGCGTACGTATGTCGTATGTTAACGTGTGTATGCGCAGCCTGATACTGTATTCAGACTGACAGTAGCATTGTGTTTCTATTTACATACATCGACACACACGCGTCTGAGATAATTGTGTTGGTGCAAGCTGTCAGTATCAAGAAAACCAAGCTGCGATAATGATGAAATGCAAATCAGCACCGTCACCAGACGTGCTCAGATCATTTTACTTTAATCTCTGTCGTAGGAAAATTCGTGCACGCACACATTCTTGTGATGACACGATAAAAAAAGGTCGTTAATACGTAAATGGCACGCGCGTGCAGCGAGTGCGAGCGTTTGTTTTTCGGATGAAGTTTAGCGAGCGACTGGCTTTAGGTTGGTAGTGGTCGCTCGAGAGCTCGAATGGGAAAGGTCGTACAACTGTAAGTGCAGCTGTACTCAACGTACCGAACTGGAGACCGGTATTAGTACCATTAGGAATTCGTGCCCCAGATGTATCTGCATATCAACATACGTAAACAAGCGCCATATTGTTTTGGTCAAATGCTGCCTACAAGAAGATGGCTTGTTTTTTTTCAAATACACATATAACATTGTAGGTAAGACGCATTTATTGTAGTGAAATCATTGGTAAAGTCGACACTGTTAATTTTCGCAGATTTTAAGACAAACGAGCAAATGTTTCTTATCTTTATCGTATGTTTAATCAGATATATATGACGTCATGCGAGGGACATACACACATCATAATGTCAGATACAATTTGTAGCATTAAATACGATAATTAAACAGCTTCGTAACAGATAAATAAGTTCTAAAGATTTTGAACGTGGAAATTTGCAGAACCTGTTTCTACGTTTACAAACGTTATAGGCACGATCTAGGTTGTAGACAGGTTTTCTCGTTACGGGCATAAAGTTTGTCTTACCACAGTAACTATTCTTTTACAAGAGACCGAATGTCCGTGAATCTTCGGGGGTAAAAGCGAACGGTCGATGCTTCCTGGAATTTTATACGCTTTCTAATCGTACTTAAAAGCGAACAGAAGACGTAGGTGTAACTGTCATCGGTCGTTTGACAATCATCGACAACACCATTTCGCGAGCGCAAGATGATTTCACTTTTTACCAAGTATCGCTTGGCTAGTTCCAACGTATATCATTGCAGTTTGCGGTTAAGAAATAAGAGGTGATCAGTTTCAATAGGCATCATGAGACGTCCGACATACTGATGCCAAATCGATGAATCGCAGCGAATTCCAGCTACATCTGACGAACACAAGAAGTGACACACTCCCGGTTGTCGCAGGAATGCAGCATTTTTCATAATTAGTACGCATAAAAAGTATGCTATTATCTATTAACCGAACTTACGTTTACGTATCGTTATAAATATTTTCAAAACTTCAAGTTCTAATACTCCACATACATTTTTAGGAATATAAAGGATTTCTAAGAATCACTGATATAAATGTAAAAGAAACATTACCCAATTACAAGCCAGAAGAGTGAATAGAGCTACTGTAATAATAATAAATAGAGGATGGAATACTTTCCCAAGAAATTGAAAACCTCTCATGTATTGCTAGCGCTAGTAGCTACTCTATACGAAACGTTGGCGCCGAGCCCGCAAACCGTACCCAGGAATTCCACAACCAAGCTTTATCACGCGGTTGATAACTGCAATTACAGGTGTCCGTTTAATTTCGTTGCGTAACTAATTGTCAGCCGCAATTTCAATGCTAATGTCTGTGCGCAAATGCGCATAGTCTCAAAGACTCTGTCAGCGGGAAAGAACCACAAAACGATCACTTGAGGAAACAGGGGAAATGACGAGACACGTCGCTGAAGCTCCGTACGTCCGCATCTGCGGGTCTTCCCTGAAGAATTAGTCACTGGAAGCGTAGCGCTAATCGTTAAGTAGCACGAAAGGACGCTTCGTGCGATTTGCTAATGTAAACACCGCCAGGTTGCCGGCCATACTGCGGCGTTGCATCCCGCCGCGCTTTTGAACTTCGCATGTCAATAATCCTTGACCTATTCGACGTATCAACGAACGAGAGTGGAGGAACGTGCCACTGCTGAACGCTGAAAGACCCTGTGCCCTTGCCATTGCGATTTAATGCGCTCGTTCTATAACCGTTTAGGCTTTCATCTGATTTCGATCGTGACCGAATAAGGCGCAGTCAAGCACCACTGGATGCATACTGAAAACTGTTGGAAACGGGATATTCGAACGGCGACTCCGATGCCTGGTGCTACAGGCTAGGGACCAACGTCGACGTCCCTCGCCCCTCTTCAAGCATCCGACGATGTCGTACGGCAGACATCGTGCAGCGTTGTAGCGTACAGTGACCATACGGCACACAGTATACGTATACCCCACACCCAATGATGATACGTAGTCACCTTAGCAGCGGTGCTCATAACGATCGGTTCGCGTGCTGTCGTTGCATTTGTCGATACCAGGTAATGCTGCAGTGTCTTTTTTTAAACGCGAATGATTTTGCGCCCGCGTTGCTCGGACAGCGGATAGATTTACACACCCCGTGACAACGTTGCAGGTCTTGCTATCCTGCTCGATGTAGATACTGTCTTGTTCATACATTATTGCAAGAAACTTCTTGGAAAATAATTGTTTATGATTAAAATATGAGAAATCAGAGTTTCTTGCAAGGAATGTCATCACCTCTAGAACCACCATAAACTGCTTGGTCGATAAATCGCTAACGGTACAAATCCAATTTCTCATTATCCCGGGCCCCTAGTTTGAAACTGAGCGACGAATTTAGGGTGGGTCACAGGGTGACTATTAGTCACTAACTGCACGAAAACTGTATAGAGAGTTTGCTAGATGGAAATAATGCTTGTTGCGTTTCAGTTAGAACTCTGTATTTTCATCAGTTTTGCAAATATTGACTTTAGATAACGAAACTACAAGGAATCGATTTTTCTTTACTTCCCTGGGTGTACATTCCTCGCTTCATTGTTTTGAAAGGTCTGCACGAGGCAAAGCTTTGCATTCGAGATACCAAAGCCATAGAAGAATGACCTCTTAGGTAGAGGTCAGAGCGCGTGAAATCAAAACGGAATATCCTCCAATGAGAACGATAGGCTCGTGTTGGTAATCGAGCTACCATTTCCGGTCTGCACAGCCATATTTTACAAACAATCGGTTATCTCGAGAAGTCGGATCTCAATCGCGACGCAAGATTGGTAGGATAGGCGTCACGACAGCTCGCTGAACCTTGCGTGTCGCGTCGTCTTGGTGTAGCCTTGACCTTCTGGCATATACCAATTAGGTTCACGAGCTTTCTTACTTCAGACAATTACTTCGAACTGGTCAAATCCTGACATTGGAAGAAATCGTTCTAATAAAGAAATACGAACAATTCTGCGATGATTCGAGCGGTCATATCATGACATTCATAATTGACATTATCACCTTGAACGGGTCATACCGCTATCAGCGATTTGTTAAGAATTCTAGATGATTAGAATTATACAATGGTCCACATATTGTTTCCCACTACGATACTATTTTTGTACGACGATAATACAACCTGACATTCATCCAGCTAAAAATGTTCAGTCTTGGTTCGAGGGGTACGAAGATAAACATCCTGGCCAAGATAACATTCCATTGGGTGTTATTCAAAAGTTGCATAACTCTATTCCAAGAAGGATAGGAAAATAGCGGTCCAACACCGTATTAATAAAACAATGTGTATTTCACAGATGTTTACATTACATCGTTCATCCCCTCTGTCCGCCTTCCGAATTCCAGATACTCGTCTGCGGTATTCAAACAAGAATGTTGCATAACGAAAACGCCTCGCATATTAAATGTAGATATTTGTTCATTTTCTTGGTTATCTTAGGAACAGCGTGGTCTCGAGGAATTCAGTAATAACTTCCTTACAATTCTGTTCTTACATAACTGTTGGCTATCAATGATTCACCGGTCCCTCCGCAAGTGTGCACTTATATTAGCGCATCCTATGTGCCGATTGCACTGGTGTCATTTCTACGTGCACCAGTCTTTGGCAAGCTTTTTCGTCTTTGTTTCTTATCGCAAACATTCTTCCGCACGTTATGGTTAACCTCATAAATGAGGTTCGCATAGTAAATGACTTGCAGAAACGTTTCTACTCGTCCTTTCTGGGTTCGCGATATACATGTATGTCATTGACACTCTTAAAGATATTTGTGGTCGGTTTTTGAGAATGAAAGAGTAGTATAGACATCGTGGGAAATATGACCATTGCTATCCAGATACTTAAATTAAAAAACCGATCACTGATAGTTAAGTTGATCTAACTTCAATGAAGTAGAATTAACTTCATACTGCCTATATTCCTCTACAATGTAGAGTCTACATAAATGACCCTATTACCTCGATACGTGGGATATAAGAGCACTCTCACGTACTACCGCGTTTCTTCTCGCAGTAGTCGCGTGTTCGGATGAAAGTGCTGGTAAAGGTACATAAAGTTTCAGAACATGATACTTGTTTATACTAAATGATGGATGTAGAAAAAAATTCCGTTGGTCAAGGGATCCAACGAGAGGTTCACCCTTTGATTAATAATTTTTAATAACAGAGAGGCACTAAGGTGCCTGCAACACTCCCGATACTTTCTTTTATTCCGAAGTGTAAACTTTGCTATTCCCATATTAACATGTCTTATCTTTTTTTGTCAACGTCTCTGCTGGCTGGCGTACGCTGTTTTTTGCACATATGCTGACGCACGCGTAGGTCGTAACGCGATTCGCAAACACGACACGGTTCGTCCAAAAATTTCCCTCGACGCTGGCAAGCGACGCGCACGATCCCATATTTTGCTAAGATTTCTCCTCCTCGTTCTACTTTCAGTGCAGATGCTTCATCATAATAGTTTCTATTTTCGGTCGGAGGGGTTGGCTACACGTTGTAGGTGCAGATGTTCACCGCTGGGCTAAAAGCGTTTGGGGGAGAAGGTCGAGCTTGGCGCTACGTATTCGCACGGGACTATACAGATATAATAGACAAATAGGCGAATTGGATTTCTGGTAGACGCGTGCGAGACTCTCGGATAAGCATTAATCGTTTCACAGACGGAAGGGAATACAAACGATGAAGTCTAGAGCAAATAAGAATCTAGGCTGATCTTGAATATCTATCTATGTGTCAAGTTAAACTGAATGTTAAGCAAGATTGATAAACCATGAGTTTGACAAATCACATCATCAATTCTACCAGTCAACAAGTCAGAACCCTGCCGGCAAGAAATGAAAGAAGTCGCAATTAAGAATGGAAAGGAACTTCCTCTGCGGCGATCATGAGATTAAATTTTGCTCCCAAATAATGCAAACAAACCCTGAATGCTACCAGCATTGTAACCCGCGGGACACAATTGAAGACGTGATGAAAATACGTGAACACTCCGGGGACATTCTAGACAGACACTAAGGCAGTAAAGAAAATAGTAACTGTAGAGAAAAAATGAGTGAATGAAACGTGTCCGACGCAGGCGTCTGTTATATCCGCGCGCCGTCTTCAAGCTCGCTCGAGCTGCCTGTTTGATAATGAAAGATACAACCATGTGGCGCACGCATGGCAAGATTAAAAATTATTATACTCCGTATATAACGAAATATGTTTCTCTTTAAACGTGTTATTACCGGAATGACTCGATATATTTTTTAAATCAATTTCGCTTGACGAAGTGTGTCAAGAATATCTCCTTGTACCGAGTAAACGTATCGTATCGTTGAAGACACAAGAAGCGGAAAAAAGGAGCGAGCAAAATTGCAGATAGTTAATAATGAGTTTAGAGAACAGAAAGCGTCCCAGAAAAGGCTTTGTCATGTAGCTTTGAGTCGCGCGAATTCCAGGTCGTTGGTGCTCTCGAGTAACCGTGCTAACTTGTAAGAATGCAAGAATCAAGAGGTATCCGACTTGGCTTCTATTCAATTAATCATCTAGTCCTTATGTCGTCTCTTAGCGTTAGTACTGCTGGCAGTTGAAAGAATGTCTCTGGAATGCGGCCATTGCGCGTCACAATTTTCATGTACTCAACTATCAGCCATTGTTAATGTATCCGCCAGCTCTTTAGTTAATAATTAACAGCTAATGAATAAGAAGATGTACTCCTACCGTCGAATACAAAGAGCATTCATTTCGTTAGTAGTAATTCAAGATTACTGTGACGATATACGGTCATTGAAGTACGTAGATAAAATTATGATAAAATACGATTTCATTCTGCTAAACAATCGCTATTTATATTAGTACATAGAACAGATGATTTGGCTAATTGCTTCCATATGAAATTAAAAAACTGGCAGTGTTTCCGTACTGATACGAAATAAGTATGAAATACGAAATGCGCTCTTCTTATCGCCACCAAAATTTCATAGGTGAAATTGTATGTTCTTGAATATACGTATCTCTATACTACGTTTTATTTACCTCGAGCTATATAGTTACATGCAATTTGTGACACAAACAGAACGAACAGCATAAAGTTACGACATTATATATATCAACGATATCAGATTTCTAGTTTATTCCCACAGATTACGTTTCATGTGAAATTACGTATTGACCTAACAATTTAAAACATGTTCAAGCTTTAATGTAGTCCGCGTTAGTTGAGCAATAATTACTGCGGGCCTGTAAAAAAAAGATCTTTATCTAAAGCTTTTAACGATCCTTCCAAGTTCAACAAACCGATTGTACTCCTTCTTACAACACTGAGATAAATATAATTGTTGACAAAGCACACAATACAATTCAATAATGTACCTGGTATCTGCGTAATATCAAAAGCCCCATGTACTTGTACGATAAGTCGAAAATGGTGTTATAATTTAAAACATGCTTCAACGTATATTAAGCATTTATGATAAGGATAAATGGTTAACAAAATATCAATTCACGAAAATGGATCTGAATACACGTAATTTAAAGTTACCGGAGATTCTCTCACATTATTTTATTTCAATATCCTATTACGCTAATACAAGCCAGCAGTGCACAATCGGAACGTCCCTTTTCACAGATATTATTACACCGCTCCATAACTTTTCACACATACAATCTGACACTTCATAGTTGAAAATAGCTGGAATTATCTATCAGCGCAGTACGCCTCTAGAAACGCGTACGTTCAATTCCTCGCTGCGTATATTCGGTCATTCTACATTTTCTCTTACGATAGTTTGATTACTGTCAATGCTGCAATCGTTCAAGGTTACTCGTATAGCGAACTAAAGAAGTGCTTTATGATTCGAGGAATTCATATGCAAAGCGCATTTATCGCCGCGTTACGCCAGGTCTCTTGCACTTTTATTGAGTAACGTCTAATCAATATTCTTGCTACGAATGTTGCTAATCGCTCAATTTGTTATTTGAGAAAATAATATTTCAAAATGGTCATCGTAAAAGCTAATCCAGACTTATCCATTGGGTTAATGCCCAGAAGCCTTCGTTGATATCAACTACGAGGAATTATTTATATTTTTAACTAAAAATCAACGAATAATTATTGTGCAATCCAGTGAGAACGGAATTTCAGAGAAACGCAGGAAGCACAGGGCCCGCGATATATGGATTTATATGTCCAACATGTCCAGTGGTGTATTTTCCAGTTCTCCACTTCCTGCTTTCGTCTCCTTCTTCCTCTCGCTGTCTCTTTTTGGTGTTTTACGTACGTGCCTCGGCCAATAATACGATGCACGTGCGTTCATTCATAGAACGCTAACGTGGTTCCAGAGTGCCGTGTACGGTTTAGTCGTAATCAACTAAGATGCGGACACCATGAGTGGCAGAATTGCAGTCGAGATGACACGTATGCATAGTCGGATGCGCATTGCCTACGACCGCATTACAAGTCAAGACGAAACATCTCTCGTTCGTTCTTGCATGAAATGCAAACGGCCGATAGCTGCGAAACGGTCAGTTTTGCCCAGTGTTGACATTTAACCAATGACAGTGCAGACTCGTTTACTGGTTCTTCAAAAATTAATATATTCTGATTTTTACAATTTAATTTAAAGAAAAAATATTATTGGGTGTTTTCAAATGTTCACTGCCTAGTATCATCAATTCAATCATCAGTTCTCTTTGTCAGTAACCACAGTACATTATTATAATATTTAATATTTGTACTTATTTACTTGTTAAGAAAAAAAAGACATTGAGAAACGAAGCATCTAGCCGAGACCGTTTTGAAGGTAGGGGGTTGATAGAGCTTCAGCGCGGAGAAATTGTTTGATAACGTCGCTGAACACGCTATCTCCCATATTGTAGAAATTTCACCGTTTACCTCGTAATCGTATCAAGTATCGGAGATGGAGTCGCTTCTAGTCAAAGCGACTATTCTCGGTGCACGGAACACGACATTCCATTATTACAAAGCGCGGGCAACGTCGGGGATCCTACCACGATGTCGTTGAGCTTGTTTTCACCCGTCTGTTATAAAAATAGTTGGTCAATTTTGCGCTAATTTTCCAGTATTAGAAGTAACCGGAACACGGGAGCAGGAGGGAGAGGTGCACGTTGCCGTAAGTACTTATGAGGAAATTGCGCAAATGCGCGGAATGTCGTCCGAGAGAAAAAGTGTTACCGTGTAGGTACTGGATATCGTTCACCGTTGAACGAATAACATTAGAAGTAACTGCAGCGCATAACTTTATTATTTGGACACTTCGCAATTTTTACATCGCATTTTTACAATCCCATTATCGCTGTGACTATGGTGAAAGATAAGGTAATTAAAATAAGTGACGCACTGATACATTTTTTTTTTTGTTTAGATAAGAATCGTCCATCACTCGTGCCCATTTCTCGTAAAGGTGAACCATTTTTATTAACCTTGCAAAACACCACGATGAGCTAGTAGATTTTGCACGAGTGCGCAGAACCGATTGCTTAACTCGCGTGTCGTACTATCGCTTCACAGAGTACATTTTTACAATCCCTTGTAGAAATTTCGAACTGTCGAAACCAAAGTTGTTACGCAATCAGCGCATATTCCTATAGCATAAGCGAACCGTAGGCAATTAGTCTCATACCGTTACCAATTGCACACTACCGAGCAAATCGCTCGAATTGTTCGTTTCTTCTACGTGTATCTGAAATTCATTACCCGTCACCGTACACTTTCTATTACCGGGCTACTTTCACCGCTTATCAATATTAAAATACTTCTGGGTTATTAATTTTTTGTATTCCTTTCGACAGATGAGATAAACGCATTATCGACAAACGTCCAATATGGTAAAAATGTCAATCTCAAGTAGGAGGTGCTGCACGTCCCTTAAAGGATAGCAATTATACAGAATCCCGAGTTCCGTTCAAGGAATAATCGCAAGACCATATTCAAAATCAAAATTGTATCATCAACAGAACTTTCTCTTGTATCTATTTTTTCTATCTTCGCTTAAACCAGCTGATAACTTGTCCCAGTTTCTAGAATCGTTTTGTCCATACGTATAGGTAATGCTGTAAAGCGAGCCGTTTTGCTGACGTCTTGTGTTTAACAGTTAAAATAGCGTAGCTAATGGCTCACTGTAAATAAAAACAATTTAAGATGCCAAACATCGCTATTTATCTTATCTATGACGTTAAATGGTATCATCGGTTCGCAGGTGAAAACGATGAGGGCTGAAAGTTACCGACGCCATATGGAATCGTTAGGACAAACAGAGACCATCTTCGACTTTCGAACAATGTTAAACTCTGTTCTCGTTCGTGTAAGCGCGTAGTGTGTTTGTACCCCAAGTACGAAGGCCTTCGCACGTGTTCGCCATCCGTCGACGGATACAAAGTGCGCGCGGAACACCTTTTTCTCTCGTTTTCCGACGGGCGCATACACGCAGATCCAGCGAGCATGACGGTACTTTCACAGAAAGCAACGAGCATCATCGTTTTGCGTACGGTTGTCCGGGTTGAGTAGTATCACGTATTTTTAACCGTATGACGTAGCCGAGAGACAGTAACGGCGTGGATGGTGAACGGTAGATCGTAGACGTGACCGTCTGGTTGCGAATAGACTTATTTCCACGGTCGGTGTCATTGGGATCGTGGCCGAGTAGCGGTTGCAGCTGCCTTGGCACGAATCTCCTCTGATCGAGAAACTGGCGGCGAAAATTCATTGTTACGTCGCGGGACCGCTCGCTTTCATGTCACGGTTCTCCACCGGCGATACCGATGATCGCGTGGAAGATAAAGATTTCACTTCGAACAACATTGTTTTCAACGTCTTCTGGTCTAACGACACTTCAATGTAAATGCTAAAATTCTTCTTGAAAAGATTGGACGTCATATGTACATTAGGATGGTCCTTCACACATTGCAAACAAATGTGGTCCTCATTACAGATTAGCAGAGAATTACTTTTAGAATCAAAACCTGTGGGATAAGTATATCATAAATTACATAATGAACACTTCTCGATCGTTGTTTCAACCGGAAGAGATGGAAAGAAGCACCAGTGTCAGGGTCTAGTTCAGGAGACAAAGAATGGACTTCTTGCGTGACCGCTTCAAGAATTTATGAATACTGGGGTGTGGCGAACGGCGATAATTATATAGAACAGTGAGTTTAGTTAGAATCAAGTAACGAAGGGTAACGAAAGAATTTTTTTCAAGGGTTAATTTCTTGCTCCTTTCTTTACAATACTTGCAATCTCATCGATAACATATATTATTTTCTTCTTCATTTAATAAGTCAGATTGACGACTGTAGAGTAACGTAGATCGTCGAAGTATACGTGCAAATTACTTGGCATGACCTTGCCTCGGGGCTTTCAGTAGTTAAACCATCTGCATAATTTGCATCGATCAATATTACGGTGAATAATTGTGAGAGAATTCTTGTTATCGCGTACACGTATTTTGTTATGTATCTGCACTTCCTTCGATCTTATTAATTAGCCAAAGATTTATGGAAGGACGTAACGTTTGATGTGTTATCGCAATGATAAAATGCTCCATTCTGAGAATTTTCTGATAGTAAACAAATTCAGTGAAATATAAATATGTTGAGAATGGAATGAACCTAAATAGATATTCAATAGTACGTGGACAGATTGAAAAATGTGCCTCACCCTGACATTTCGTGAATCGAATTGACATGGGTGCGCCCACCTCTTTTTCCAGTTTTCTACCTGCTTTCGAACGATGCAGCTGAGTGTATGAAACTTCGTTTTAATGGAATCGAAGCGATCCATAAGTAATCGGTTTATAGAACTCGTATCTATAATATGTGGTGATACACATATATAAATAAACGATGATCAACGTTAAACGCGTGACTCACAATGTTCCGGCATCAGTGTTTTACATACTACCAAAACTAACACCGAACCACTTGTCATTTATGACTCACGAACAAACACGTGTTGTTTCCTTTCTCTCCTTTTATTTCCTTTTCGAAAGTCGCTCGGTAACGCTCTATTTTTAGATAATTAATAATGATCACGAAATTGTGTAAAATATCTCATAAATATTAAGATCGAATAACCGATACTTTGAGAGGATTTTTAGTTCGTTGCTTCGTTCAATTCTTCGAGCTTTCCGTCGTTTCGTGGAAAATCGTCTAGCAACTCGTAATAAATTTCTGACGTCGGAACCTCCAGCAATTACGCAAATAAACTGCAATGATGCAACGGAAATCTTTGCAGATTGAATAATACCTTATAATCGCCTCGAAACGGAGATTCATCGTAATACTATTTTTAATACAGCATGATTTTTGAATATTTTGTGAATGAAAAATGAACGAAGGTAATAAAAAATGCGGAATTAAAAACATTTATTTTTACACAATACAAAAAATCATGTACTATCGTTTCCTTTTTCCACTATTTTTCTGACCTTTGCGACTTTTCCTACCGTTCCTATTACGCTTTCGTTCCATTAACTTGCGCGCCTTTAGAATTTGCTCCGGTGTTTTCAACTCTTTCTTTGCTTTGATTTTGTCCTTAATCTTTTGATTGTAACGTGCCCAATGCGTGTGGGCTGTTGTGTTCACTAGAATGTACAAAAAAAAATAAATAAATTTGTATATGCGATAGATAAATGTCGAATATTGATGATAAATGTCAATTAATCGCATACACTTCTGCATTTGAGAAGAATCTTCTTCGTCGCTATCGTTCATGGCGTCGACTTTGCTTTTCTCTTTCCATTCTGAATAACGATTTGTTTTGTAACTAGCAGGTATCCAAACACCGGATTCTGTTCGAATTTTATTAGCCTTCCGATCCTTTAAAAAAAAATACAAGTTTCAGATACCTCAAAACTTATAAATTCGTCAACAATATAAAAAACACGTACATTATTAATTGTAACCATTTTCTTCTTTTTCCGATCCCATTTTTTAATCTGCTTTTGAAGACGCCGGGATTCTTCATTATCGGCAGTTAGATCCATTTGTACTTTATCTGCTTCCGTATTGAAAGAATTAACGGCTAAACCATCTTCTGTGTGTTTATCCGGGGCAACATATGGAATGAAAAACTCTTTGTCCTGTTCTAATGATCGTTTTTTCTTTTTAGAAGGTTTATATAAATCGTCAATATTTCTTTTCTTCGGAAGAATAATTGTGTTAAATGCCGCATTAACCTCGTCAGTCGTACTAGAAGGAAGATTCGCTCTTCTAGGCAGATCTACGTAAAATTACTAACTGTTAAAATAACTTTTATTCAATTTCATTTTTTTCGTATTGTTATTCATAGTACCTTCTAAAACTTTTTTTGCTTCTAATTCTTCTGCCTTCCTACGAAAATTGGTAATATTTTCCTTATGATACGATCGTTTTGTTTTCATTACCTGATAGTCAATAGAGGATGTTTTCGCTCCGATTTCGAATATCGTCTATTACGAATGGATATTTTAATTTATTAACACAACGTAATCTATATAATTACATATAATTTATGCGAGTTTGAGAAATATACGCACTCCTTGAGGTCTATAACTCATTATTTTTGATAATAAGTTCTTAGTATTAGACGAAACGTCGGAGTATTCCGGTATAACACCTGCTTTGCTAATGTGTAATTCCTTCACTCTTTTAATACTTTCGGAGGAAGCTGCTGGTCGCGATCTGACGTATTGTTTATATGCGTTATCGCAAACCTGTTCCATATTTTGCTATAAACGCAAACATTAGTTATAAACTTAATAATACCCTCTTAACCGCATATTAAATACACGTACGAGATCTGTGGAGCCATTTTGCCAATTTATTAATTCTGCAAGTTCTTCCTCTATCATTGCTTGGGGCATTTTACCTATAGCACCCTCTGAATTTTCTATTATTGATCCAGAAGGTGGAACAATGTGTAAAGATCGGCCAAGAAAAAGATGTAAATCTACGAGATAAGCATATTCATCTGGGCATATAATATTGTAAGCAGTTCCAGTTCGACCCGCTCGTGCGCAACGTCCTATTAAATAAATTATTGATTGCATATTATGAAGCTTTTATAGACTATAAAACCTAATGTAGTTGCTCACCTACTCTATGTACAAAAAGTTTCGATTTTGCGGGAAAATTAAAATTGATCACATTGTCTAAATGCGGAATATCTAGACCTCGAGCAGCGACGTCTGTTACGACTAAAACTTTAACTTTAGCGGATTGAAATTTGGCCGCATTTATTTTTCGTGCTGATGGATCCAAGTTAGAATAAATAAATGTATTAGAAATTCCTGCTTTATCTAATACCTATTAATTGAAGCTAACTGTTAGATAAAATATAAATAAATATTTTATGAAAATTAAGTTATATATATTTCATTGACATGCCTGATGAATATATTCAACATGGTGTTGTGTTGCGGCAAATATTACGGTCTGAGAATCAATTTTAATAACAGTTTTTAATAAACATAGCAGTACTGCCAATTTTTCTTCTGGACGGCAAACTATGAACTTAAGTGTTAATTCTTCTGGTATTTTACTTTCTACATCTAAACGTAATAAAACAGGATCAGATAAACCAGCTTTTGCAAAATCTACTAAAACTTTAGGTAACGTTGCGGAGAATAATAATGTCTGTCGTGACTCTGGTAGTCTGTTTGCAATTTCATTAATTTGTTCACCAAAACCCATCTCAAATAATCTATAATAAAGTTTGTGTAATGTAATAAAAATTAGATATAATACCTATCAGCCTATATCTATACCCATACCAATCCTTACCTATCAGCTTCATCGAAAACAACATATTCTATGCTATTCAACTGTAAATCCATCTCAATACAAATATGCAAAAATCTGCCTGGTGTTGCCACTAATATATCAGGACTCCCATGAATTGCACTAAACTGATTTTCCATACTATCACCTCCCAAAATAACAGATGCTTTTAAGCCTGTGAATTTTCCTAATTCTTTTATAAACTTTAACGTTTGTAATGCCAGCTCACGAGTAGGTGATAGAATCAAAGCTCTAGCACCAGCTTTTGCTTGTCTGGCTTTAAGTTTTTCAAACAAAGGAATTAAAAAACAAGCAGTCTTTCCACTGCCAGTCCTTGCCATTGCTACCACATCGCGACCTTCCAAAGCTAAAGGAATCGTCTACAAAAATATATTTTATACAAATAAAGAATAGATAAAGTTTAAATAAACATATTGGTAATTACTTACCTTCCTTTGTATAGGAGTTGGTAGTTTGTATCCACGTTTCAATATTCCCTTTAAGACAGGATGACTAAGAGCCATGGATTGAAACCCTCCTGACTTCTTACATGCTTTCTTTTTGATATTTGTAATTTCATTCTCTTCATCATTGTCACTTATTTCTTCGGGATTTGCAAACCCCACAATCTCTGTATTTTTCATCGTAAGAATGTAACCTCAAACACAAGCTACCTAACACGTGGGTTTGTTTGACAGTTATGTCAATTAGTAATCAATGAAATCTTTAGTTTAATTGATGGTTATTGTTAAACATTTCATTCGATAAAATTTGTTGCCAGTTGTTTAATTTTACAATAAGATGAGATCACATTTTCATTCTACCATTACAAGTTAGTGTCAGTTAGAATTGGTTAGAATTAGACGTAACTCAACCCATAATACGTGAACTTGGCCCCCCTGGTGTCAGTGCTTTCAACTTTATAAAATGATTGGTATGCAGTAGGAAAAGTTATACAAGTTTCTTCTTTCATTAAAACTAATTTGTTATATGTATTTATATGTCATATATTTCGTTTTCTGGCATTATTAGTTACATATTCCAATTATGAATTATTTTTAATTCTTATGTAGTTATCTTTCTTCCTACCAAAATTTTCGTTTCAGCATATTGGTATTGCCTACGTCTTATTGAACGTGGTAGGGATCGGCCATTTTTGTCGAATCCGTCTTTTCGTGATAATTCAACATGAAGTAAGTGAAGATTTTTAATACAATAGACATCCGTTCACTATACCGCAATCATTAAAAATTTCTTCAATCTGTACGAATAACTTTATTGCTTAAATATCTTTCATGAGTATGTTGTTAATCTTTTCAGGATCGGACTTTGTGCCTATAGTGGATATAAAATATATCCTGGCCATGGCAAAACCATGGTTAAAGTGGATGGAAAAGTAGGTACAACATAATTTACATATGTTTATCTTGTGATATCAAATTCTTTTTCCTTTTAACTATCTGTAATTAAGGAACGTTGACTTTCTGTTGAGTTTATATTCATGTGTCAATCATAACCTCTATGTTTTAGACATTCACTTTTTTGAACTCGAAATGTGAGGCAGCACATTTAATGAGGCGTAATCCAAGAAAAGTCACATGGACTGTTCTGTACAGGTAATGTTATTTTTATTCCTTTGTAAATTATTAGAAATGAAAGGCATATGCGTGAAACATAACTTGTATGTTACAGACGAAAACATAAGAAAGGCCAAGAGGAAGAACAATCGAAAAAGCGGACAAGGCGTACTCAGAAATTCCAACGTGCTATTGTTGGTGCATCACTTACAGATATCTTGGCAAAACGTAATATGAAACCAGAAATTCGTAAAGCACAGAGAGAACAAGCAATCAAGTAAGCATAATCTGTGTATATGTAAAAATTAATATTATAGACATCTGTTCCTCGGATGTGATCTTTCGTATCACATTCGATTTCAGAATGTCTTAAATTAAGTGGGCTGCTTCACCCAGAATTGTATTATATGTTTACACTGTTTGGTTTTTGCGGGCCCAAACAAATTCAATAATATTATATATTTTACAATTTACGTGTTAAACACACAATTTAATTTGTTTAAAATATTAATAATTTCAGAGCCGCGAAGGAGCAGAAGAAAGCAGCGAAGGCCACAAAGAAGGCTGTTGTTCCAGCCAAAGCAAAAGCTGCACCAAAACACAAAGCTGCGAAAGTAACACAGAAGGTGGCACCACGTGTTGGAGGAAAACGTTAAATTCTGATACTATTTAAATAAAATAAACTTTATATTTAAAGAGTTCATCTTTCAATTTTACCTATAATATTTTATACTAAGTCTTGGACAGGTAATATAAACCTTTTTGAACTTAATGCTCTTTTTATAGAGTAAATGTTTTAAACGATAAAATGTAAAAACTTACCGGATATGGTAAAATAAATGATGTGACACGTAACCTTGTTCAAAGTGATTATAGAAATGTAACTTTTATTTCAACTTCATTAATTAAATACATTTCAACATAGAAAATATTCATACATAATAATTTACTTTTTTTTATTCAATTCTTTTTTTAACAAGGACAATTTTGTCAAAGCTTCGTCTCTCCACGCACGTCGTTCTTGAAGTTTGTCCAATGGACACATTTCATTTAGTTCGTTGCTAATTTTTTCCGCCATCTCACCTTCAAATTTAGGAGTGGGGCCAAACGTCATGCTTACGTTGTACATTGAATTTTTATATGTCTCGCAGTACTTTTTCATTCCTGAAAAGTAATAGAATTTATAACATAGATCAACATAGTTCTCTATTATTGCATATCAAGTAACCACCTTCGGCGTTCAAATGCGCAGCTTCGAAGGCACCGAGGAAAGCGTAACGCATTCCAAGACCTTCGCTCATGACTGCATCCACATCTTTTGCGCTTAATACTCCATCAGCTACTAATCTCCATGCTTCGTTCAAGATTGCATATCTAAGGATAATTATGCATGAATTTTTTTCAGCGAATCCATGGTTAATTGCCACAAGACCGACTGGTATAAATTACAAATTTACGTACTGAATTCTGTTCAACGCGAAACCGTCAATTTCTCTGCTAAATACGACAGGTTTTTGACCTATTTCAATCATAATAGCTTTCGTTTGCGATGGTATATCAGCGCGCGTCCATGGCGCAGGTACAATTTCTACGAGTGGTACGTAGTATGGGGGATTCACCTATATTCAAGTACTTGTAAAACATTTTCACGGTGAAAGTATACCTTTTAACTGAAATTTAACATATGTGTACATACCGGATGTGACACAACTACTTGATCACGGTGTTTTAATTTCTCGCTAAACAAAGATGGACGGAATGTGGACGTCGACGAAGACAGAATCACTTTATCGTCAACTACATTGTCAAGTTCATTGTACACCTTCAATTTTAAAGGCAGATTCTCTGGGACGCACTCTTGAATAAGTTTAGCTCCCTTTGCGGTTTCGGCCAAACTGGATGATCCTATTTAAAATATTTTGGAAAGATTTTTAGTTGAATCATTGGTAAATTTTGTTTCACGGACGACTCGTCTGATGCATATAAGGAACTGTATGTATGAAAGCAAACCTTTAATTAACTTAAATTGTTGGTCAGCGGTAAGAGCACCTCGTAAAAGGCCGCCATTTTCAAGACGGTTCAATTGTTGTTGAATATCTTCGAGTGCTTTCTTAATTTGCTCACTTACAATATCGTAAATAACTACTTCATATCCTACACTAGCAAAAAGCATTGCCCAGCTGCGACCGATTAAACCGCTAAAATAATAATTAAATAGCAATTATATTACGAAGAATAATTTCTTACAATTAATCATTCTATTATTTCTTTTCTAAGCTCCCCGAAATATTTTAAACATTTTACAATCATAATTTAAGAGGATTTATGTAACCTTCTTCAGTTTATCATTTAATTTTTTCACTGTTATCTTATCAACGATGAAGTAATTCAGGACATCAGTTAGATTTTTCAAATAAGATCGATGAAAAATAAACTTACAAGCGAATGTAGTTTATTAGGTTTTAGTTTCCGCAAATAACATTTATGAAAACGTAATATGTTATTATAGTCTTGTTAATACAACGCAATACCCGATTATTGGTACGTAAAAAGAAAGCAAATAATAATTGTAATGACAGCTCTTAATCGTTCTAGTACTTGGAACAGATTTCTGATAAAAACACTCATACTTTATCAGTTAATGTTACATAAATGACAATCGCGGAAAAATAATCGGAAATCCTGTCAATATTACAAAATTGATCGATTACGTTTTTAATGTCAAATTCACACTTTTGTTATTGCTAATGTATGATTTCTTTTATACCCGAATATAATTATAGCTTTAAATTGTATATATATATTGTGTATATGTAGGTATACATACATATGATTATAATTATATTATTTATGTATTTATTTGAATACATTTTAATATAATCATATAATGACAATATAATAATAATATAATAATATAATGACAATTATAATTATTTGTAAGAGAATGTTACTTAATTGAATATTACCTGCCGATTATACCAATTTTCTCGTTCTTAGCCGACATCGTGAAACGATTGGACAACTGTATACTCGTAGTTGAAGTATAAGTAATGTTGTTAGACATGTAACTCGCCTTTCTATTGCATATATATCATGAGATAAACCCCCACCTTGAAAGCAATGAAGTACTTTAAGAACATGAAGAAGGGAAGGGGAATACAGCCGTCGGCCATCTTATTCATTTCATTATCCCACCCCCTGAACGTGTTCATCAGCATGTCAGATAAATTCGGAGATTCGAAAGACAAAGCAAGTACGAATCTCTTTTCCTCGTATTTGAAACAATTGAAATCTGGTTTGGTTGCTCTTCTTTTATTATCGTAGATTTTACTATTATCTTTTACATTGGGTGGAAAACAGTGATAGTGGCGTCATCAGTGGGAAAATACTCAAGTTTATAGAGAAAATAGTTGCCACTGTTGCGGCTAGATGCTACTATTTACTGAAAGGGTCGATCAATAATTATTCCAGCATAAAAATGATCAATTTGACAAATTAACTAATGCATTGTAGTATTATAACGCAACGAATCGTGTTAATTATGTATTTATGAAAAATAAAGAATAATTGATTAAAGGTATTAGTGGTGTCATCTAGTACCAATAGTAGGAACTATTTTCACTATAAACTTAGGGGTTGTATCACTGATGGCGCCACTAGCGCCAAACTCCGAGAGTTTTGATCCAAGCTGTTTCAAGTCTCCAAAATTAATAAATCCTCGACCGCTAGATGGCGATACCAGTCCGTGGTCTATAAATCGGAGAATGCAGGTATTTATACATAAAGAATAATTGATTAAAAGATATCGGTAGCCAAGCTCTATTTACGTTCAATTACAAGAATATTGTATCATTTCATGCGGTAGACATTGAGTATTACATTACACGGTAAATATTAACTTCCATTTTACGCGTTCCACCAAAAATTCACCATAGAATCGTGCGAAAAACAATTAACTTAATTTAAAAGATTCTGTGTTTAATTTTCTCCTGTGTAAATGTAATTGTAATTTACACACGCGTTTATTTGTAGACCGCGTAATTAACATTTCGAAGGACCTTTGGAGCTCCTGTTTTGGTAGCCCGTTTAGTACGGCGGTTACAGCGGCCTGAATCTCCGAAATGTTGCTATAATGTGTCCCTTTCATTGGAATTTTCAATTTTGGGAAAAGAAAATAATCGCAGGGAGACAGATCAGGCTTGTAGGGTGAATGATCCAAGGTAACAATGCCAATTCCAATGAAAGGGACACATTGTAGCAATATTTCGGAGATTCAGGCCGCTGTAACCGCCGCACAGTGCGATGAGTATATGAGAAATAAGGACAAAAATCAAATCAGTATTCAAAAATATTCTACTTGATAAAAAAGGTAAAAAAAGTAAATAAGTATGTTAAAACAATGAAGGAAAAGTTTATTACAAAATATTTTACCAAAATCTTTGTTAAACAATTATTAATTAATTAATTTTAAAAAGATAATAGAGAAATTTAATTTTAAATAATATCTACACATAATTTTAAATAATATCTACACATAAAATAGTTTATGCCGGATCTTCGGAATCGTGATCGTCACTCGATGATTCAATCATAAAAAGGGGGCGGATTGGCGCAGGAATTTCTTTCACTATCTTAAAGTAGGCTATCTAATAAATTTTTTAAGCCAAGCCGGAAAGAGACCGTTTAGCCTTTTCGAAAAAATTAGTTTTTAAGTTAAACAAAGGAAACTTCAAAATTAAAATGTTAACTAGTGCAAATCATTCATTTTACATATATTATTAAAACTTTATAAAACTGTTATAAAGTAGTTTTAAGTATTAGTTTTATAGGGCTAACTTACCACGAAAATTCAGATCCATTATAAAAAAAAAATACTAATTTTTTTTTAAAAAAGTACCTATCCTGTTGAAAGATAACTTCAGACTAAAATTAATCCTACTTACAAAACAAGTCTAAATAATCAAATCAAAGAAAAGCAAATTTTTATTTGTTGACTTTTGTCCACAGTTCGACGCACTGTGCGCTGTACTAAACGGGGTACCAAAACAGGAGCTGCAGAGATCCTTCGAAATGTTAATTACGCGGTCTACACGCTATATTGACGCAGAGGGAGATTATTTTTAGTAAATAAACGTGTGTGTAAAAACTTTACTTGTACTTTTTTTTTTTATAGCAAAAGTTCGGTTTCTTTTTAGACAGACCGTGTATGTACGGGGTTAGACGTCTGCGTGGTCGAAATTTATTTCCACCGAAACGCAGATACCTTCGCCCTGAATATTGATCGCGATCGAAGCTCGACGAGCGATTGCTTGTCTACGCCGTTCTCGAAATATAATCGATCGCTCGGTTTTCACCTCGCTTTCTCGCGGCGCGAAAAATAAGAAACAGCTAAACGTGGGACTTCGTCATGTTCCGCCTTCGTGATATGGATAAATGATCCGAATAAAAGTCGTGCGGCATCTGAAGGCATATAAATTAGTAGAAAAAAAAGTATGCAAATGAAAAAAGTTTCCTTCATTTTGACTTTCTATTGGGAAGGGTTTGGTTTGGAAACATAGCGCGGAGAACTTGATAGGAATTTAGGGCATGTACTCTATACAGTAGAGCCTCGATTGTTGCACGAGATCCTCGTTGATTCCACTCTGCCCACAAGTGGAGGAGATGGTTGAGTCATAGGTGATAGATCAGAGTATAGCTGTTGAGTAGAGTAATGACTACAGCTGCTTCTCACTTAATTAGTTATCTTGACAATAACTTCGATCATGTTGTGGATCGGGATAGGTATACGATGTTTTCAATGAATGAGCATTACTCTTTCTTTGCGTATTATAAGTATTATTAGAATATATTATAAGGTTAAGAATATATATCACAAAACATTATTCAACTGTGTTCTATTACATCTCGTCGTTCTCTCGGACGCCACGTATTCGCCTGTCTATTGTTTATTCGCACATCGCGCCACACATGTAGTATTATTTCCATCGGTAATGTAAAGTCTTACAGATCATCGCAGGAGTTTTCTACCGTTTAGAAACAAATTAGAAGCAGTGGATTGAAAAATTGTATACATTATTTGGGATTTTCGACCAGTCTGCGTCGACTCGGGCAACGATGATAGCGAATGAGGGCTCGCAAAGGAAAAGCGTTGGTCCAGCTGCACGCTCCGTGCCATATACGGGTTTAGCCTAATTTCCGCCACGTCTCGCAACGAGTTCGAAGTCACCTGGTGGAATTTCTCGTCGATTTTGCAACGGACTGGCCTCTCGCACGCGTACTTATCTTCTCGCCCGCTTCTCCGCCGCTTTGTGTGCATCGATCAAACTCCGTTGCAAGTGGGCCATCGATTCATCCTCGATAGGGGCACTGTAATTATCTTTTTGCGAATCTTGTTGAGCACGAGTACAAGTCATTCGACATATCTTGCTGGGGGTACTCCGCGAACGTGAACTAGATATCGTTAGTGTCTGTCTTTATACAATTTTACAAATTCTAGCTACGCCATTTAGTATCCTCTCGGTTGAAAAAAAATTCTAAGCGTCTAAGCAAAAATTCTAAACTCGAACAAAGGGAGATTACGGGTCCTAAATTTCATCATTTTCCGCCGTCGAGTTGGGAATCGACGTTTCACGATTTTCGATTAAAATTAGTCCGTCCCTTTCCACTTTCATCCCACCCTGCGCGTTCGCCCTTCGAGGGCCGTAGCTCATCGAAATTGAGTCTCGAGCCTCGAGATCGTGAAGGTCTCCTGTTCAGAATTTCTGGTCGTGTGCGAGCCACCCCGCTTCCTTGGGGTCTACCCCGTACCCTTTTCTTCGTGGCAACGAACGCCCGAAAAAAGAGGAGGGACAAGGGCGTGGGCGGGCGAAGGGCATACCGGCAGTTTCGCGGAAATGCCGTGGATCTCGTGGTCCTGGAACTTTCCCATATTGATCCTGGCGAGTCTGCGAACGGCTCGACGTCTGCGTCCGAGATGTCTCTGCGTAGAAGGAAGTTGAATCCCCGCCCTCCTCATCCGAACTGGAATGATGCATTGCGGCAGCCTAGACGCCTCTCCGTGATCCGAACGCACAGGAACGTTGTAGATAGCGTAGATATTCCGAGTATCGCATGGATACCATCACACACCGCTGGAGTATGCCCGAAGGCGTTCGCTATATCCACTAGGTTCGACGTATGAGGTTCTCTAGGGTTAACTAGTTCAGGGTACACCTGAACACATTGTTGACCGGTCACGAGTTAACTCGTGTTTGCACTTGCATTATCTAGTTCAATTTATGACACTCGGGGCGATATAAACAAAATTTTGTAGTTGTGTAAGTAAGAAATATATGTGTAAAATATTACATTTCAATTCATTATGTTGGTAAAATATAAATAATCTTTATTGGAGTTTATTTAGATTGTTTTAATTTCACATTCAATTACGAAGTAATAGCCGATGACATGAAGTCGCTTCTGTATAAAATTGCTGGTCAACAATGTGTTAACGTATGAGACCTAGTCGAGTGGTAGATCGAGGATCTAGGAAGAATGAGAAAAGTTGGTACAGACGCCTCTTTTGGCTTTCTTCTCGAGTCCCAGCTATGTTTGTACTTCAATTTTTGCTTCGTGGCTAGGAACTTCATTCAAATGAAATAGCAGATGAATACAAAACTCGAGGTCCTCAACGATGGCGATATGCGCAATGTTGCACACCCAGGATAATCTCAGACGCCTCGCTGTTCTAGTCTCGGAGCTTTTAGATGCAGCGATATTTTCGTTCCTCTCGGACGTACTGTGACATTCAACGCGGTCTTATTCAAGCGAGCGTTATTGCTTTCTTACTCGAGTGTTCTGGTTGCGGTGGGCCTCGATAAGGAATTGGTCACCCACGTCGAGGGTCGAGGCGTTTGAGGGACTGGCTGGAAGACGTTACAACGCGTTACACGTTCCTCAGGACCGTGCAGAACGCCGAAGAGACGGAGGGAACGCTTCGTCCTCGGTCCACGCGCGTGTAACAACGATATTTCGCGGAGATAAAGAATCGATCGGGCCGCGACGACACCGACTATCTGAATCGCGACAGTTTCG